ATCGCCCTTCGAAATACTAAAAGTTACTGGAAATTTATCGGCCTGATCAAATTCCCGATATGTAAAGAAATGGCTAAACACTTTATATGTTTTTTTTTAAACGTGTAAGAAGTTTTCAGTACCCGTCATACAAGTTGGACAAAACAACAACTATTGTTTCCCGGTGTAATATACGTAGCTATCTCAGCTCTAATAAAGACCATAGAACTAAAGTGAAAGAGTATCTGAATTCCGGTAATCATAAGTTTGGTCTAATCACATCAGAGAAGTCGTCTGCCAAATTAACTTGTAAATTCTCGCATTATATTAGATGTCTAAGTTAGATGTCTGTTTAATGCTTTCATCATATTTACTCGATTTAGCGAGGTAAATTACGATGCCAATTCTGTATCATTATGGTAGAAAAGTTATGTTGATTCAGCTTTAGAAGTTGAAAAGTCTGCTTTTGAATTTTCATCAGAGATGCATCTCTCTAAGAGATGTTCATTTTTTCAAATGATTTTAATTTTAATATCACTATCGAATAATCACTTGACTAATTTTTTTTCAATGTTCTATGTATTGAGTGAGTTTTAAGTTTTCTAGGTAAATTTATTGTTGACACCCAAACACACACCTCGCGCCAAAAAATAAAAAAACATAAAAAATAAATGCTCATATCACGCTATTATTTTTACTAAATTTACATGATTTCAATTAAAAATATAAACAAAAATTAATATTTATATTGTCTAAAGCATGTTTTTATTTTTTATGCTTTGCATTAAAATAATGTTTAAATCATTTGTTTAAAAAAAACAGCAGTGAAATATAAAGTAAAATTTATTTTTTAATTACGTTTTCCCTTTATTATTATTATTATTATTATTATTATTATTATTATTATTGTTATTATCTTTGATTTCTGGCGTTTACACATTTCTTTCCGGGTCCCGTCCAGGGAGCTAAGTTTAAAAATGGCATCATGACACTTTCCACTGATAAAAAAATAATAAAAAAATAAAAAAATTACATAGATAAAACCCTTCGTAAAGTGTGGGCTGTACTTGTGAGAATAATTTTTTGTATTTCTTTAAGACATGGGCTTCTCGGAATCACTTCAATTAGTCTATTGGAATCTTTTCCAACCCATCCGAGGGCTCCAACTACAACAGGGATTGTTGATGTTCCCATGTGCCACATTTTTGAGATTTTGATTTCGATTTCAAAGTCCTTGTATTTTGACAACTTTTGATACCGGATCTGTCGAATTAATTTATGTTACGGCGCGGCAAAAGAAGATAGCAATCTGTCCATGGCAATAATGAAAATTTCAAATTGGTCAAGTGGCCTACGAAACAGAATGCTGAGAGATAATATTAATTAGGTCACGCACTGACCGAGAAAAATGTCAGCTGGACCACCCCACAAGTTAGAAAGAAGGAAAGAGTAAACCATTAACTATTTTCGGAGATATCATTTGGGAAAAAAAAAATCACCTGTTTTATGTCAGAGCTGGCCATGATAAGAGTTTGCTGCCTGGAAAGATTTTGACAACGGAAACACGTAGGCATTGAAAAGACAAAGAGATTTACTTGACCAACCTCAATGATTATTTGACGAAAATCTCGTTGACGAACTCCAGATGAAATTCGGTTAAGATAGAGATTAGGGACCATCCTACGAGTCGTGTGAGGTTTGCTCATGGAAGTGAAAGAAAAAGAAAAAAAAAAGGAAGCGGTAATTGAGCGATAATTACAAATACCCACGCTGCTGAGCGTTCATTGGCTGAAGGGTGGCGTGAGCGGTAGGCGAAGGTAAACTATGAAGAAGGAGGGGAGGCCTGTTGACACCCACTGAAGAGATTGGTGTGAGATGCCACTGTGAGAGAGAGGGGAACCTGTTGATGCCCCCTGAGGGGATTGGTGTGAGATACCAATATGAGAAAGGAAGAATTTGGGAGGACGATTTCCTTTAAGTAGAAAGTAAGGACTTCCAAAAATGGAAAGTAATAAATTTTCCTATCCGAGAACAAAGAAGATCCTTATTTTGGATTTAGAATTATCAAGGAACCTCAATCCCCGACAAGTCCACACCGGTTTTCGTCACCGTCCATATAAGCAGAGTCGCAGGGAGTAGAGTTTGAGAGACAGGCAAGTAGTTGAGTTGGAAGTTGGAGAGAGAGACGCAGAATTGAGCTGTGAGCTCTGAGACCCGCCTTGCAGAAAGCTGACTGAGATCCTACGCAATCACGACCTCAACTTCTAACCAAGAACAATTTATTTTTAAAGAACAACTTAGACTCACACCACCAAAACAAGTCACATCGGTTGTCGCAGGTTAGACAGAGTATGGGGCAGTGAGGCCACGGAGTAACGTCACACAGACGATCAACATCAGCTTTGGGATGATGCATGCGGTAGCAAGTGTGAAGCTTTTTCGTTTTGGCGTCCATTCGCTTAATTTCAGCTATGGTCCAGTTAAAGACATTCAAGCTGTATTGCACCACAGGGACAGCCAATGTGTTTATGGCTGATATTCTGTTTTTTGAGTTTAGATCGGTATTTAGTACCAGACGTACACGCCTGTAGTACTCTTTTCTTATTTTTTCCTTCATTTGGTGGTGTTGTATTCCATAACCTTCGCTAATTACTAGGGTACTTATAAGCTTCATCATGCTTCAGTTCCTTAATCTTTGTGCCAAAATCTAAATCTATTAAGGGTGTTTCTGTAATTCTACCTTTCTTGAATGTTACTTTTGCACATTTATCTAATCCAAAGTCCATACCTATGTCGTCACTGAATTATTTTACAATATTGAGGAGGCCTTTCAACTCATTGTCGTCTTTGGCAAATAGTTTGAGATCATCCATGTAGAGCAGGTAATTGATAATTTTCTTATTTATTTTGTAACCATAGCTACTGTTGTTCAGTTCATGCGTAAGAGCGATTAAGGATAAACAGAAGGGGTGACAGAGAGTCTTCTTTGAAAGATTCCACGTCAGATATTCAGACGGTTGGATATGACAGTGTCTCTGGTGTGACTAAGGTATAGTTTACTGTTCCACATTTCCATGCTGTGTTTAAGGAAATTTAATACCACAGGGGAGACTTTGTACATTTCCAAAGTCTTAAGGACCCAAGAATGTGGAACACTATCAAAGGCTTTACGATAATCAATCCACACTGCGCTAAGATTTCTACGTCGTCTCCTGCAATTTTATTATTATTATTATTATTATTATTATTATTATTATTATTATTATTTTGATTTCTATTGTATATTCATTTCTTTCTCGGCCCTAACTAGAGACCTACGGTCAGAAATGTCATCATGACATTTTCCCTTTAATAGTTTAAAAAAAAATACAACAAAAAAACACGGATATTTTACATAAAGCCCTTTGTAAAGCGTGGACTATACTTGTGAGAAGAATCGCTTGTATATCTTTAAGGCATGGCCTACCAAGAATCCATTCGATGAGTCAATCGGAACTTTTCTCTATCAATCCGAGGGGTCCAACAAGAACTGGAATTTTTTGTTGCCCTCATGTGCCTCATTATTGAGATTGCGATTTCAAGATCTTTGTTCTTAATAGTTTTTTGAAGATCTTCAAAAGTTCATTACAATCCGCAGGAACTTCTATGTCAATTAAAAGCACATTCTATTTTTGTGGTCTTTGATACGATGCCTTGGCGATTAGCTTTGTTTTGAGTGTATTGTAAAATCCCATCAAATTGTTACAAGTCTTATATCTGGATCGGAACCGGGCGATGTTCATATCGGTTTCAATTGTTTTTGAATATTTATCACAGAAACTGCATTTCAAGTTAACACATTATTATTATTATTATTATTACTATTATTATCATTATTACTATTATTATTATTATTTCCTTTGATTTCTGGCGTTTACTCATTTCTTTCCGGGTTCCGCCCAGGGACCTAATGTTAGAAATAGCATCATGACACTTTCCACTGACAAAAAAAAAAAAAATTCATAGATAAAGCCCTTCGTAAAGTGTGGGCTGGACTTGTGAGAAAAAAATTTTGTATTTCTTTGAGACATGGGCTTCTCGGAATCCCTTCAATTAGTCTACTGGAATCTTTTCCGACCAATCCGAGGACTCCTACTACAACGGGATTGTTGATGTTCCCATGTGCGACAGTTTTGATATTTCGATTTCAAAGTCCTTGTATTTTGATAGCTTTTTGAAGATTTTCAAAGATAAATCGCAGTCTGTAGGTACTGCCATATCAATAAGGTGGCACATTTTTGTGTGCGATCTCTATTATTATTATTATTATTTTCTTTGTATTTCTGTTGTATATTCATTTCCTTCCTGGTGCCAACAAAAGATCTCAGATAAGAAATGCCATCTAACATTTTACAGAGACATTTTACGTGGATGAAGCTCTTGAGTTAGATGTACTTGAGTGTACACTTTTTTTTATTTTTTAAGACATTACCCACCAGTTATTCCTTTAATGAGTCGATCCGAAGATTTTCCAATCAATCCCAGGGCCCCAGCTCCAACTGGAATTATGGATGTCCTCGTGGGCCACATTTTCAATTGCAGATCCTTGTATTTTAATTGATAGCACTTTTCTTATTATATGTGATCTTCCGAGTAGAGCGATCTTCTGGTCAAATTGTATGTTGATGTTACCTGGGAAAATGTTAGTAAAATTGTCCATTCCTTTTCTCACGACGCCCACAGCTCCGATTACTATTGGTACAATCTCAGATTTCAATTCCCACATCCTGTTAATCTCGATATCCAGGTCTTTGTATTTGGACAATTTATTAATTATATTATTATTATTATTGTTTTCGTTTTAGTCTTTCTCTTTTTTATACTTCTTTCCTTATTCTCTAGGTTTTTTTTATTCTTCTGACTCTACTGAAAAATTACTCGACAGGTTATATTTATTGTGTTATTATTGTCTGTTCATTTTTCAACAATATGCCTTTTTCTCTTAGGTTTTTTATATTTGCATTTCAATCTCCCTCTTTTCTATGCCTTTTCCTTCCTTGTATTACGACTTAGCCTTCTGTCTTCTTTGCTTTCTTTCCTTTATATCGAATCTAAATTATTTTATCTCCTTTTTTTCCTCTCCTTTCTCGTCTTTTGCGTCATTGTCTCAGCAACTTATTGGCCTTCCTTATATTTTAGATTCTTTTTTCTATATTTTTCTTCCTTCTAATTTTCTCCCTGATAAACTTTATTCTCCACTCCTATCTCGCCCTCTGTCGTTATTTCTACACGCCAAGGCTTGTCTTCTTCCTTTTGTAATCTTTTGCATTGTTTTTTTTTAATTTTTTCTTCGATTAGGGCTTCGTTCTCTTCCTCATTTTCTTTCTATAACTTCTCTGTTTTTTATTTCCTTTTCTCAGTTTGTCTTTTTTCTTCTCCACATTTTCTTTTTTTTAAACCTTTGCCTTTAAAACTCTTTTCTTCTTGTTATATTCCGTACTAAGGGAATAAACACATAGGTGGATACTAGAAGAAAGGTTTTTGTAGACAACAAGTACAATATGAAATACGGTAGAGTTATACACACAGGTCAATCTAGTAGTGAGTGCCACTATTTGGAAGGTCGGACGTGCTTGCCATGTCTCGCTCCCACCTTCTCTCTCTCCCGTAGATAGTAGACTTTATAGGTATATACTACTTATAGTATAATCATTCATGGGGGTGAATGATTATTCTATTACATTAATTCTCTTATCATTTTCTTCTCTCTTTTCATCTTACCTCTCTTGCTTTTATTCTTTCCATCATCCTGTTTTTATTTTTAATTCAAATTCAGTCTCTTTCTTCTTCTGCCCGGTTTTTCTCTCTTTATCTTCTTCAACAACCGGCCAGCTATTCTCTCTTATTCCTTCTTTATTCCATCCCATATGCTCTCATTTGTTCGCCCTCACCTTCTTTTATTATCCGTCAATCTCACTTTTCTGTTCCCGGTCTGTCCTCCGTTTTTGTATTATTCCCCGCCATATTTCTCATCTAACTTTTGCTCAACTATTCACTCACTTGGCACTACGTAACCTTTTTTCTTCCTTCAATGTAACTTTCGTCACTGGATCTCACTTTACCTCCTTTAGTATAATTTAAAATTATCTTTTTTTACCGCTGTTTTATCCCCCCCCCACTATTTTATCAACGTTTTGAACCTATTTTCATTTCCTTATTCAGATGCCTAAATATACAGCCTTTAGTCTTTCATCCTTACACTTTCGAGCAACATCTGACTTTCAATTCCCAAAACGAAATTCAAATTGCTTTTGTTTCTGTACCTTCTCGTGGCTCCCTTAAAAGTATTATCATCATCTATCATCTTGCTTGTGGGCAACTACAATGGAAGCCAACCATCATCTGGCAATTCCTCGTCGTTTTCTGCTGTTGTATTTACCGAACTGGCTTACACAGTAATCAGAAAAGCACGCCTCTTCATATGTATGCAGTCACAATGGAAATCTTTTCGAAGCGGTTTAATAACTAACTGAACATTATGATTTAACGTCAGCTGCGGGGAAGATGAATGTAATCACGGAGAAAGCGTGCCGATCATGCAAATTCACACCGTACGACATATACATTAAATTTTAAGGAGAATATATATATATATATATATATATATATATATATACACACATATATATATATATATATATATATATATATATATATATATATATAGATATAGATATGTAGGAGAGAGATATATGTATAGGGTAGTGTATATATACAGAGAGTAGTGTATATATATATATGTGTGAGTTTATACACATATATATATATATATATATATATATATATATATATATATATATATATATATATATATATATATATATATATATATATATATGATATTAATGTTATGTACGTATATATATATATATATATATATATATATGTGTGTATGTATGTATGTATACATGTATATGTGCGTATATATATATGTGTGTGTGTGTGTGTATGTATGTATACATGTATATGTGCGCGTATGTATGCATATATATAATGTTCTAGACGCAGATCGATAATTAGCAACGCATTTTATACAATATCTCCGGAAGATTACTATCTCGATCCTGGGCTAGACTGAGTTGAAATGCATTTATCTATCACTCTCTCTCTCTCTCTCTCTCTCTCTCTCTGTATATATATATATATATATATATATATATATATATATATATATATATATATATATGTGTGTGTGTGTGTGAGTAAGAGATTATAGTGGTTCCAACGCGTATATTCAAAAGAAGAGAGTTACCGCAAAGATTTTTGGTTGTAATGTTGATTTTTTAAAAAACATATGCTATATTTTCCATAATTTTACTACACGTGTTTCTGGTCACGCGACTGTCTTCAGGTAAAAGGCGGAGATTTCAACATATTGTTAAGAATAATTAATTTTTTCATTTATGTTTTTCGATGTTAAATATTCTCGATATGAGGCATTCTCTGTTTTTGTGTTAGTATGAAGTTCTAACTAGTTCCCCTTTCTCTATGAGGATGGGGAATATAGAGGAAACTTCATCTGAAATATTAGCATGAAATTATTTATAGAATAGGTGGAACTAAGTTACATGACGGCGGTGGGAAAATGACTAAACCCTGGATACCAGATCAGATATTTATCAGCAATTCTCTTTTGTATGCTCGGAAAAGTATCAGGATATCGAATCTGATTTTACTAATGCAGCCAGATAGACCCTCCCACTTCGAAAGTTTCGTGCAGCACAATCCCACTTACACAGCACTGAATTATTTCCTTGAGAATTCCTGCAAGAGGTATGCGCTAATCTAACAGTATGAGCTACTAAAAACCGAAAACAAAAACAATTCTGTCTACACTTAGGCTTATTTGCATTCTTGCTGATTTTTAGCAGACCATTCGCCGCCATGTTTAAATTTTTTCACCGATTTTTTAGTTTTTCTTATATCTTTGAAAGGACTCTCCGCGATTTCTCCTTACTCTCGAGTCGTGTTAAAAACTACTTTACTTTTCATAATCTCTCGACAGCGTTCATTTCTCTGGCAAATCTGGTTTCTAAATTTTCTTTCATGTTCAATTTTAACGTGTCGTTTACTGCAACAGTGACATTCACCATGTGGCATATAATTTTCTCTATGTTTTCTTTTTATTCCAAATGTATATGCCGGCTTGAATAGTCATACCGCTTCGAATTTATGAACCTATTAAATAAGCGGAGAATTTTAGACGCCTGGGAGGAAATAATCATGTTATAGAAAAAAAGACAAGCGTACAATATAACATAATCACCATGCTGGAGAGACAATTGGAGGAAATATTTCTTTAATAGCCGGCATTTCTGTTTAGTATACAAGAAGGAGGTAAGTTTGAAATAATTTCATTAATGAATGCGTTAGCAAAATAATTGGTCTCTCGCTACTTAACTATTGCGACCTAACATTTTTTAATATATAATTATTTTTGAAAATATAAAACTCCCCTTTCGGCCTTCTTAGTTTCAATTTATCACCTCATTCTTCATATAACCACAATTTAATGTGATAGGGTTAATGTCTGAATTAATTTTATAGAAGCACTTCCTTTTAAGGTTAATACCTTCAAATTCCCCTTACCACCGAATCGGGCATTTCGGCTGAAGGAAACAACGAAATGGATAAATTCTGTGTTAGTTCTTCGACTGCTGTCAAAGGGAAATATTAAATTTCTAATTCCGACAAGAACACAGTCTATACACCAGGGTTGAGTAAGACTAACGTACTTCTCGTTAGTTAAAATAGATCTATATCCCCATATAATGTGACGTCTTCCCCCGGTCGCAGCGCCAACTGTGACGTTCTATACTGATCTACCACGGCGCCAGTTGTGACGTCCCCAAACAGCAGCAATTGTGACGTCCTCGCCGCGGCGCCAGCTGTTCGTTCCTCGCTGCTCCGTCCGGGTGTCGCTGCTCCAAACGTGACGTTCTAACCTTTTGGTGATTCGGATGGGAATCTGGTTAGATTTGATATCAGCCTCGTCGTTCCCAACTCGCTTCCAACGCCTGGTTGCCAAGGTAACTGCATTGATCTCCAGTCTGCCTACCCACGTTGTGAATTGATCTTAGACAGACGAGATCAAACAGTGGTTGGGGCCGTAATGCAAATTGAGTTCAACGGGAGTGATACTACACAAATATGCATAAAAGAAAATAAAATGAAAACTCAAAAAGTTCAAAGTATCAAAGAAAAAGGTAACAAACTTTTATGTCTAGTTGTTCGATACATAGGACTGCATCTATCTCCCAACCCGTTCTGTGGATTGTGACACGTCGTTTCCGCTAGGCAAGTTTCAACGCTTCAAGTTGTTTGCTCTCTAAGAAATTGGTGTTTCGGTCTGTCTTTGGACGAAAGTCGAAAATAACTTATTTCGGTGGTCTGGTTCTAAGTCGCTCTTCAAAATAATTGTTCTTGGGTTGAAGAGGAGTCCGGAATTTGCGTGAATCTTGGTCAGCTATCTCGAGGCGGTTTCAACTGGAGACTGACTCTTGGAACTCAACTCTGGAAACTCGAGCCCGAACTGATTTCTGCCTGTTTGGGCCTCGCTTTTATTGACGCCGACCAAAACCGTGTTGGGTCTGTTGGCGTCGGTGTGTTCCTCGATAATTCTAAATACATATCCACCTCTTTTATTTCTGGTTAGGGATTTTCCACTCTTTTCCATTTTTGGGAACATTTCCTCAATCCCACTTTCTCACCATACCTCTTCCCTCCCCACTTCTTCTCATACTTATACTATGGATGGGGCGTCGACAGCCTTCTTCGTGCGTCACGTGATCACTCTCGGCCAATGAGGTCTTGGTCGGGTAACTTTCCTCCTCCTTCGTGCGTCACGTGATCACCACTTGACCAATGATGTCTTAGTCGGGCGTGAACAATCCGTGGCTTTGTTTCGGGAAAAAATATCTTGCTTAACTAAAAAAAAAAAAATTATCTCTTCTCTTTCCCTTTTCTTCCTTTCAATCGCCGTTATCACCTTTCTAGTCGCAACGGACAATATGACAACTCTTGTTTTACACGTGGTGTTTGTCAGGTATTTTATCGCTAATTTATCAAGATGGGTGGTATTCTTAACATGGCTTCAAAAAAGAAATATCCCCAAAGTTTTCAGTCAGTCTGTCGCCTCCAAGGAAGAAAGAAAAACACTTCTGGGTCTCCATTCATTTTCCCTCGGTACATATTCCTGATAATTTTATTATCGCAGCCCAAATTTGTTTCTTCGAAAAGAATTCGGTCAGCGAGACTGCTTGTGTGGGATTTAATTTTTCATATCTGTCCAAAGTCCTTTTTAGTGGCCTGTTTCTCCTCACTTATCGAAATAGCATTTTCACTTGAATTTTTCCTTGGCCAGTGGTCCAGTCGTTCGCTTACACACCTAGATAACACACCGCTATCAAAACACATCTGATTCCTTCTTTCTTTCCCTTTCTTTTTATACTCAGAAATTCCCTGTCATTGTAATGACACCCTTTTTCATTTGTTACTTATCAATATTTTCATTGTCCTCTTAGCCGTGTGTGTGTGGCTGCGTATCACCTACGATTCGTCTCGCCTTTCTTTCTGCCTTCCTTTCTTTCGCTTCCTTTCTCTGCCTCGTAAATGGTGCCACATAATGTAATGTTGTATTTTATTGTGTAATACACACACACACACACACACACACACACACACACACACACACACATATATATATATATATATATATATATATCATTCATACAAAAAGTAGATTAGTAAAGTTAATGATATAAAATAGCGAAATTCTTTCGCAAACAAAATTTTGAAAGGTGAATTCGCCTACAAATCACTCGATGAATGTTATGATCCTTGTTTTTTTACAAATTATAAACTGTATAAGGTCTTTCTTTAATACGCAAGTACTTTCGACTGTGCATTCAGTCATCCACAGACATGGAAATTATTTTGATTTTGGTAAAATCCAGTTAGCATCCAAGACGAAAAAAA